GAGCCCAGCAGGTCAAGGCTGCGGTGGCAGGGAGTGGCCACTGCACTCCAGTCTGGGTGACAGAGTGAGACTCCAACTCAAAAAAAAAATGATATATCAACAGAAACATATGTATCTCCAGTTTTTTTTTTTTTTTTTTTTTTTTTTTTTGAGTTGTGGTCTCACTCTGTTGTCCAGGCTGGAATGCAGTAGCATGCTCACGACTCACCACAGCCTCAACCTCCTGGGCTCAGGTGATCATTCTGCCTCAGCCTCCAGAGTTGCTGGAACTATAGGTGTCTGCCAGCATGCCCGGCTAATTTTTTTGATTTTTTTATAGGGATGAAGTCTCACTATGTTTCCCACATTGGTCTCGACCTCCTGGGCTCAAGCTATCCTCCCCCTTCTTCCTCCAAAGTACTGGGATTGCAGGCGTGAGCCACTGCACCCAGCTTATATCTACAGAATTTTTTTGTTTGTTTTGTTGTTGTTAGAGTCTCACTCTCTTGCCCAGGCTGGAGTGCAATGGCAGTGGCAGGATCACAGCTCACCACAGCCTTGACTTGTTGGGCTCAGATGATACTCCCACCTCAGCCTTCTGAGTAACTAGGACTATACAGGCATGTGCCACTACACTCAGCTTGTTTTTTTATTTTTTTAGAGGCAAGGTCTTGCTATATTGCCCAGGCTGGTCTCGAACTCCTGGGTTTCTGGCCTTCCAAAGTGCTGGGATTGCAGGCCTAAGCTACTATCCCCAGCCTAATACCGAAAAATTGTTAAAAATAACAAATTTTATGTTATCTGAATTTTACCATAATTTTAAAAAAAGAGTAGTTTGCTTTCCTTTTACCCACCCTGAGTAAATTGTTGTTCAGCTTGATATATGCTGTCGTAATGTTATAGCCAGTCACAACAACTTTGGGGCTCTGTCAAAAGGAAACCATTGCCACAGATTTTTGGACGTTTTAATTATTGCCTATTAAAAGCTCGGAGTTGTAGGCAATCACCCACTTCCTAGATAACGTGCTTTTATTTTCCTGTAAGCATTGTTCCCATAAGCCTCACTTCTGTACAAGTGGGAGATAAGGGCTTCCTTTAAGTGGCAGCTTGAAGGCTGGGGTGTACACCCTCTTAAGCGCACTGGAGTTTCTGGCCCATGTCCCCGTCTGGACTCTTGAGCCTTGTGTGGGCTGTCTTGTGACGTTTTGAGTGTCCCAGCCCAGCAGTGATCTCAGCAGCATCTTTTTCTATGCAGTGCCAGATTCGCTTTGGAGGGAGAAAGGAGATCGCCTCGGATTCTGACAGCAGGTAAATATGTTGTTTTTAAAACCACTTGCCATCAAGATGGAAAAGATGGCAGAAGAGGGCCAGCTTCTGTGTTGTGCCTCTATAGCCAAGAGTGCTGTGGTGACATTTGGATCACATGTGGTCCATCTGTACCAGAACTACTCACCTAAAACATTCTCATTTTCCCATAATTCTCATTCTAGAAATCTATTTTGGAAGCACTACTTGAAATACCTTTCTATATAAAGTTCTTTTCTTTTTTTTTTTGAGTCAGAGTCATGCATGGCCACTGCAGCCTCCATCTGCTGGGCTCATGCAATCCTTCTGCCACAGCCTTCCAAGTAGCTGGAAATACAGGGGCACACAACCACGCCCAACTAATTTTTTTGATTTATTGTAGAGATGAGGCCTTGCCAAGTTTGCCAAGTTGCTCAAGCTGGTCTTGGACCCCTGGGCTCAGGCAATCTTATGGCCTCCACCTCCCAAAGTTTTGGGATTACAGGCATGAGTCACCGTGTCTGGTGTATTATTTTAAAGGTAATTTATAATTATGAGAACATACATACCTGAATACCCAATAATTGGGAAAGGATTAATAATGTGTATTGGCCGGGCATGGTGGCTACACGTGGTAAACTCAGTACTTTGGAAGGCAGAGGTGAGAGGGATTGCCTGAGATTCGAGACCCACCTGGGCAACTTGGTGAGACCTCATCTCTACAATAAATCAAAAAATTAGCTGCTTGGAAGGCTGAGGTGGAAGGATTGCCCTGAACACAGCAGGTTGAGGCTGCAGTGGCTGTGAGCATGCCACTGCACTCCATCCTGGGAGACAGAGTGAGACTACAATTCAAAAAAAAGAAAAAGAAAAATGTAGTGTATCAGTGGGGTAGAGTGTTATCTAGCCATTAAAAATGGGGCTGGGCGTGGTGGCTCAAGCCTGTAATTCTGGCATTTTGGGAGGCTGGGGCGAGAAGATTGCCCGAGTCCAGGGGTTCAAGACCAGCCTGGGCAACTTGGTGAGATCTTGTCTCTACAATAAATAAAAAAAATTGGGCAACCACTTCGGGTCCCCTCCCACTCTGGGAGCTTTTCTATCCTCACCATAAACGCTACTTAAAAAAAAAAATAGCCGGGCTCGGTGGCTCAGC